ATAGTTTGAAATTGCTTATTGTAGGTATCTTTGTTGCTTGTAATTAGAACCCTTATGGAATGATTGCTTCTCAGAGGTGTCTTTCAGATATAGCTGGTCTTTAAGTTTTGAGTCTCTAATGACTCTAAGGCTATCTGATTTTCCTTGTACTAGGAAGGTTCATTGACTAGATCAATACCCACACCTTAGCCCAAGTGATACAATCAGCAGCACCACTGCATCAAGTACCTCTTTGAAAATGACATTTTGTGGTAGTTATTAATCTATCACCTTTAGCTGTGTGAATTAAATCAAGATGGAGGACCAAGCCAATGTATAGTGAATAAACTCTTCAATATAACAACTTTATCCTTTGGGATGGGGAGTTAGAAGGGGTTGGGGAGGGAGGGATATATGGGAAGAAGGATGGGGTAGGTTAGCAGTGTTGTCAGAGGACACAGGTGAGAAGGAAAAAGAGAATAATAGGAAAATAAAGTACTCCGAATGAGGACCAAAACAGGGACAAAAAGGGAAGATGAACAATGTGGGAGAGCAAGAGAGTGAGTGTAAGAGAGAGAGAAAGGAAAGAGAAAAGAAAGAAGGAAAGAAAAAGAGAGAAAAACAAATATTTGCAAAGAGTAGGGAAAAAAAGGTAAGAGGAGCAAAAGAAAAGAGAAAAAAAACCAAAATAATAAAACTAATTTTGAGAATAAAAAATAACCATGAAGATGAAGGGCCTCTTTCAGGCTATGTCTCTGCTGTCACAATAGACAACGTGGGTAGCAGGGTGCAGATATAAGTCAATGAGTCTCAGCAAGCTAGTCGCAGACCCATGAGATTCAGGCAGGTTTCTGGCTGCAAGTCCCAAGTTGAGCTCCCTGTCCTCCCATAACGTTGAACTCTGCAGAGTTGTATTGCAGGTTCCAGCTGCCCTTCCCCTGAAGATAGTCCTGGTCCTGATGGGAAGTGAAGATGACTCCAACTTACCCAGTACAGTGGTCTGGTGGTCCGGTGTCCTTTGCGTCTTTGTAGTGTGGAACCAGGTGGCTGTACAGAGGAGCGGGGGTGGGGTGGCCGTGTGGATGTCCAGTGGATTGCTGCTGGGGCGCGAGCTGATTCGGGGCATTCCGCGCAACTCGGGACGTTGCTAAGGCGTCCGCAGACCTGCCTGTCTGCAGCGGGCTAATTAGGCGTGTTCCACGTGAACTCTGGACGTACACCCTCTACTGTTGATGTTTATTATCTTTGCAAATGTTGTGTCTGAGACCTTTTTTTCTTCCTGCCACTAGCACAGCACCTTGGGCCTGTGGATACCAAAGATAGGTTGATTGATTGTTTGAAATACTTTCTGGCTACTTGGATTTATGTGGAGGATGTATTTCTGAAGACTTCACACAACACAAACCTTGAATCCTACAAGACGGCAGTATCTCCTTCAGAATAAGCATGCTGTAGGGAGAGCTTATAAATCTATTGCATGTGTAGCATAGTTTTGCTATATGCGTACCGTGTCTTCATGTCAGTGTCTCTAAGATTTTGCAGCATGCTGTCTTCCAGGTTAACAACATGTCGTATTATAGCAATTGTTTGGATTTTTTTCATGGCAAATCTCTTAGCCATTTACATGTGTTACTAGGTACTTCCATCAACCCTTGTTGAATGCTTGAAAAATTATCTTATGATTAAAAGTTTTAAATTCTGACAGTAACAATGAGTGTTAAAACAACAGCACAGTAGTTGCCAGAACTGGTGCATGACATGGTTCAGGTCATGACAGTCAATGCCTGTGGGGATCAGCAAAAATGGTGCTCCTGGGTCACGGCAGGATTTACAGTTTTTAGCTTTAGAATTATGAGTAAGTAGAAATCTGAACAGCTTTTCGTAGTTGAGGGGTTTTACTATTTCAAGTCTTATTAATAAATGAGACTTTTTATCATACTATTTCATATCCATATGTCCCGGGTTTACATGAGAGATGGCTACACCACACCTTACTGATGAATAAAAACAACTTTATAAGGGTCAGTTAATGCTTTCCAATGCCTCCTAATGTCCTCCATGTTTTTTCTCTGCCCAGGTACCATCAGGCTTCTCAACTTCCCCTGACAACCTCCCCACCGTGCCCCACATGGCGTGCTGTACATTGGAAAACCTGTATCTTCTGATGGGAAGGGAACTGGAAGAGCTAGAGGAGGTGCCTCCAGGAAATGTGCTAGGTAGGAGATGCTGTATGTCACAAAGAGATGACGTGACACGTCACTGCAAATTCAGTGGTGAAATTTTTGAAAAAAAACCTGATTTTTTTCTTTTTCTTTTTTTTTTTAGTTTTTATCATTTATTTTTTCTGGTGTCTTTAACTTACTGTATTTGAGTAAATAGCATGTGACTGAATTGGTTGCTATTAATTATGGTAGCTCTATTTCAAACACGTGATTCTGCATAAGTAATTTGTGAATGCTCTGTCCTAAGCTGGGGTTCCATTTATTTTGGAACAAGAAGGGGAATCGCCAGTCATATAAAGTCAGTTTAGATGGCTGTGGTATTTGTGATTCTACAGACTTGATTCTGAATTTTTGGAAACTATTCTGATGTAAGGTCTATTTAAACTCATTGCTGTTTTTTCCAGTGCTTTTATGCTCTAACAATTGCTTCATTAACAATAGTTTGGTTATCAGCTGTCAATTTTTTCCATATATTGTTCCTCACTCCTTAATATTTGTTGCCTGCTTGGCCTCTGCCCATCATGTGTAGTTTTATTGTCTGATGTGCTTCATGTACCCGCGAGACTCAGAGTGAGGACCTTCTCTTGCATTCTCATAGGACTAGGGCACTTTGTGAGATGCTGGATCCCATTGTGTTCTTGGATTCCAAGCCTTTAGCTGAAGAGCTGTTTATTAAGTGATTATGTGGACTGAGAATTTTCTTTACATTTTAGAGGAAAAAACCTAGGATATTGGTTCAGAATAATTACTGGTTTGACTGGATTGTGTGGACCTTGCTCAAGAAATTTGCTAGATTACTTCACTTCTCCCCTGCAGAGTTAGGGTTTTTTCCTATGTTTTTTAATTCATTTAAAAAAAATTTTTCATGAGATTAGTAGAATCTTAGCTTTTTGTCAGTGTTATCTATTCTTTTCCATCCCTTTGGAAAATATTGCTGAACTTTAACAGTCGATACAACTATATTCTGCCACAGCCAGCTTTAGCAGAAAGAACATTGGAGGAAGAATGGAGTGTACCCTACTCCTGTTGTGCTGCCCCCCCATGGAGTTACAGTACTGCTGAGACACAGTGCAGTTCCCTTGTTTCTTAGTGGGATATACCATGGCAAATCTCCATATGCTGCACAAATGAAAGCAAAGATACTCTTATCAAGTGGATGCTTTTGTAGTATCTCCTATAATTTAAGCCTCCGTTATTGTATTCTGTCCCCAGTAAAGATTGGGAACATGGTGTGCATTAATTTCTGGTTTTCTTCTTTCTGTGGCTAGATTTCTAAACATTGTCCAAAACTGAGGTCATGTATTCTGTAAGGATGGAAGCCATTTCTCTTTCTTGGGCCTCTTGAGGCAGACTTGACTCTGCCTTCTGGTACAGAGAGACCTACTGTAAGCTAAGACTGTTCATTTCTTCTTGGAGAAAACAGATACATACCTCATTCTTTTATTTATCTTTTTAAAAATTGAGGTAATAATAGGTGGGTTGAAGGTAAAGGTACCTGAACATCTGTTTGCCACATTTATCCATCTGAGTACAAGCCAGATGAGAATGCTACTTTGGGACAAAATGGATTGAGGAAGAAAAGCCAGGTTTATTTTCTGGAAGAGCTAGAATTATACCTAGCTGTAGGTAACCAAAAAATGAAGTGTATCATCTTAAAACTCACTCAGTAGAAAGCCCCAGGAGAGATCAGCCAGGGCTGCTCTAGTGGTTCCACAGTGTCACCAGGGAGCCAGGCTCCTTCTCTCCCGCTCTGCAGACATCAATCAGCATGTGGCTTTTGTCCCCATGCCATGGACCACAGTGGCTCCTCTTCTCCAAAACTCTTCACAGGAAGAGGGCAAAGGGTCAAGGCCTTCTGAGAGAATTAATGTTTTTATTTGGAAAGAAATGTCCTTTCTGGAGACTTCTGTATATATTCTCATTTTTTAGTTTGGTCATATGACCTTAGCTGCCAGGGAGGCCCAAGACTAAGTGCTTTAGCCCTACAGCCTCTGTAGTTAAGGCAGGGGGTCTTGGGTCATGAGCGGCTTTCACATTACCAGTCCACACCATCAGCTGCATTCCCACCCCAACCTTGTCTCCTGGTGGTGCCTGGGGTCCCTCTGTTGCAATACAGTTCCTTTTCATTTTGAAGATGGTCCTCCCAAAGGACTGTGTGTTACATGTGAGGACTTAGAACCCACCTTGCCACTCTAATTTGCCTTTTGAATTGAGACATTCAGTAATTATTTTCCATTAATCCAAATCTAATTTGGCCTCCTGAATGACTAGAAAGCATTAATATACCAAAATTAATTCCAGTCATAGTTTTGCCATTACCTTGTTATGTGGCCCAGGCCAGTGTTGTAGCTTTGAGCATTGATTTCCCAAATGTACAAGGACCATGGCTGCAAACCTCTCTTATGGTGAAACCAGAGAAGTCACTTACAATTTTTTCCTAAGAAGATTAGTTTTGGGTTCACGGGGATTCTTTTATTATATTTATTACTTATCCTAAACTTTAAAGACATATCATTGAGTAACATTGTATAGAGCATTTTATTGCTATAGCTATAAAGTACTAACAGAACTGTATAAAATACATTAACAAAGTTCAACTGTAAAAGTGCCGTTATATAATGGCAGTTTGCTATTCCAGTAGAAATGAGTAAGGCAAAAATTCTTGGTACTGCACTTATATTATGAAATTCTCCTTTATGTCAGTATCTCAGTGGCTGAAAAAAATTTCTAAACTAGACTGTCTCAAGGACTCTTCTAAATTTCTAACGTCTAAGGCTTATGCTTCTGTTAGAGTATCTCCAGTATGACTATTCATTAGAATGAGCAATGAATATTTTAATGTAGTTACCTGGTTGGACTAATAACCCATTTAAATGGCTCCATCAAAACATGTTGGACTGGTTACCAGGCTCAGAGTCAATAGAATAACCTTCTCAGGCCAGTTTCACTTATTCATTGACTAAGAATGTGATGCGTGTTTGTAGTAGCAAGCATTTCATAAGCCAGGGTGTTTAATAAAGATAAATCTTCAAAGCTAGAGTAAATTTAAGACAAAAGAGGAGGCCAGGGAATCTGGTATTAAATAAGGGAGAACCTCTGAGGCCAGAAGGCCAGCGGGCACCCAAGGGTAAATGAACCTGGAATTTCAGCCCTCAGGTTGTTCAGGTGAGTAGCCTAAGACCAGGTATGTCAGCAGAGTCCATTTGCTTGAAATAGGTTTATCTTTTCATTAAGCTTGGAATGAAAAGGATAAGATGGTTGTATTTGGCTGGAATGATCTATGTGTCCTGGTTACCTGTTACTGCATGATAAATTACATAGAGCCTAGCAGCTTATGACAAAGATGACTCTTCTGAGGTTTGAGCATGATTTGGTGGGGGCAGCTCATCTCTGGTGTCTGCTGAGGTACCTCCAAGCCTGGAGTTAGAATTCTATGAATGGTCTTCTGCTCAGATGTGCGGAGGTCCATGCTGGTTCTTGGCTGGGAGTAGGACAGAGGGCTTTCCCATGACTTCCTGGCTTTGTCACAGCATGGTGGCTGGATTTTATGGGGGGGAGTTGTGGAAAACTGTGTGATCTTTATGACCTATCCTTCATGGCCTCAAGCTTCATGATGGCCACATCATGTGAACTAGAAGTAAGGTGCCAGGACTAGACCGTATTCAAAAGGAGGCAGCTAACTTCACCTTTTTGATTTGGGAGGCATGTCCAAGAAGTTGTGAGTATGTTTTATTAAAATGACCACACTACTCATTGTAGATACATTCTTATTTCCTTTTGCATTTTAGGAGGCCCATTGTAGGACACAGATCACAGATTAAGACAGAGAATTTCATAGTGATCAGGGCAGGCCTGTGAACTTTTTTTACTTTACTTTGGAGAAGAAGTTATGATTCCTACTTAAAATAATAGTAATATAACTGATATCCATATACTTTTTATCAGAAATGATATAGTCAGTAAATTTATCAAGTGCAGATGAAAAAATTTTTGTTGGAAAAGGAAATGAAAATATTATATTGCATTCTTGGACATTTTGGAGAGCATCGTTAAAATCTGAAAGTTCTTTCATTGGCACTTGAAAAATACAGATTTCACATTTGAACTCAGCTATCATTTATGTAGAACTTATATGTACTGATAAGTATGGAATAGATTTTGTGGTTTGGAAATAGTTGACTTAAAGTTTAAAATCATCTAATTCCAACCTGATGTTGTAAAGTTGATGTAGATGAGACCAAAGAAACTTTACTGTTTAACACACAATAGCCTTTTGTTCAATTCTCTACCAAAAATATTTCTATAAATAAATATTTGCTATTGGCTGCTATAAAAATGTGAAGGGAAATTGAATTAGGATTCCCAATCTTTAGCCTTTTTATACGTACTCTTTTAGATCTCTTCCATATGCTTAAACCTTTAAAAATTCAGGGACGTATTCTGAGAGGAAACATGATATTCTTCTTTTCACAGCACATGGAAAATAATAAGTATTAATAGCCTTTTCCTGAAGCAGTTTTAGTTCAGTCATGGTTGGTTGCTGTGCTGACTAGAAGTCAGTGTCAATAATCATTGCATACTCAATTGTGTATGTGTGACTGTGTCTGTGTATCTGTATCTGTGTGTGTGTGTCTGTGTGTGTGTGTGTGTGTGTCCCTTAAGACGCTATGGTACTTTTGTAATACTTTGAATTTACTTTCTAAAGAGTTTCTTTTGAATGTACATTATACTCAACATTTCCACTTGGAGTGAATCTTTTTTTTTTTAATTGTTTATTGGTACATTTTAGGTATACAATATCATGGCATTCATCATTGGAGATTTGTACCTGTACATAATATATCTTGACTCTTATTTTTTACCCATTCCCCTGCCCTCCTTTCAGCCCCTCCACCCCTCTCTGTTTACAGACTTTGTTTTCATATTTTCATTTTCTCATATTAATTCCATTACCTTCTTTCCTTTCCCCTACTCCTCCCACTTCCCCTTCCCCT